GCCCTGGGGAATCTGCTCCGTGGGTCACAGACTTATCTCTAACAGCAAGGAGTCTTCCCGTGCGGTTACTAAAATCCCCTGCCTCCCCCCCAGCACATCTCTAGGGTTATGGATGGAGAAAGCAAAATTACAGAAAGAGAAACTCAAGAGTAAATGGGAACTCATTCCTGTTAGGCTGGGAGTGAAATTTATGTTCTTTCAGAGATTTTCTACTCCCTTCATTAAAAGAATGTGCAGCAATTTGTATATGTCTAAATATTACACAGTAGCAAACTCAAAATACATCTCCCTTCTGGAACAAGGGGAATATGTATGTTATGCAGAGAGGCTAGGCAAGAACTCTTGCTGATTTTATTTTTATTTTTCCACTCTTCCTGTGTATGTCTCTTGCTTTCTTCGATATAAACAGCTTTAGAATACATTAAAAGATAAAAAAACCCAACATTTTAAAGAAACAGTTCAAAGGGGAGAAATTTCAGAGCACAAAGTAGAGTAAAATACAGAAATCCCAGGCATTTTCAGTGGAAGTTGAATGTCTAAATTCCCTGTCTGCCTTTCAGAAGATTTTAGCTAGCAGAAAAGTTTATACATCAAGATAGCCCTGCTTCTCTCCGCATGTTGCTCATAGGTCATGATTTCCTGAAAGAAAGGAAAATCGCAAACTTTACTCGAAACGATTGAATTACAGACCCTGTCTCTTAACTCCCAAGGAGAAAAAAGCAATGTTCGTGGGAACCATCCTATAATCCTGCTTGCAATTTTTGCTGGTCTTCTTTATCTGATCCAACAGCTTAAGGCGCAACAAGATTCTTTTTTCCTGGGATTTAATCATGAGAATTGGGGGGCGGAGGAGGAATATAGATCAACAATACTTTTTATATATAGATATATATACACACACATATGTGTGGATTAGATTCTGCTGTGTCAGCTAGGTTGAATGGTCAGCATGTTTCTAGATGAGCAAAATGTCAGGGTTGCATTAAGGAACTAAAAAACCAATCAATATAACAAAATAGAAATGAAGAAAAAAAAAAAAGTAAAGCTCCAAATGTTAATGAGTTGCCTCCCAGTCCCCTCTTCTGTGGGAATAATGTAACAATCTCTAATGCAGCACCTTTTTTCTAAATGTTTTTTACACTTCATCTGTGGGATTGGCTTTAGTTTCCAGTATCACTGGTTTTCTAGAAACCTCAGGGAGTCTGCACTTGAGAACAAAGCTCAGATCCAAAGTGAAATTGTATCCATTTGCTGTGTGTACAGTAATGACGGTAAAGATCTGAATATGGCTTCATAATTTTCTAAAGAGCTGAACCAACAGTGCAGTAGCATGAGTGGGTGATAAGGTATCAAATAAATACTTTAATGGGAGATTTGATAAGGCTCTTGGGACATCTTAAACTGAGGAGCAGGGTGCTCTTGTTGGTTAAAGTTGTAACTGAGCAGAAATTATCAGAGGCTTATTAGTATTTGATATGTGTAAAATATAATGGGACAGCTGCTTGGCAGGGTTATTTGCTTTCGAGTTCAATAAAACTATGAGAGCGCACTCCTGCTATAAATACTCATCGGCTTTGATAATTTCCTAATATCGGATGCGCTGAAAATCACGTGCCGTAGATGTGCTTTGCACCTGGATGCAAAGAGCAGCAGTGAGGGAAGCAGCGTGCCCTGCCCAGGGCCTGCACGGGCTGGCCAGGGGGCTGAAGGACTCGCTGGGGCTCCTCTCTCAACCCGCTGAGGTCGGCCCCTGCTCCGCCTCAGCCCGGGTAACGCTGCCCTGGAGTTTGAAGGTGGCAGGAAAGGGGTTCAGATAGCTAGAAACCCTGTAAGCTTTGTTGGAGAAGAGAAATAATTTCAAGTGTTTCCTTTCCTGTCTGTGATTTCACAAGGTTTTAAATCAGTGTGGTAATGCTGAAGTCATGGGAATTGGGGTGGTTTACACCCATCGTGGATGCAGCTAGCTAGTTAGTTTAGGATTGCATTCTGCTTTCCTTTACAGTGGTGTGGAAAATTACTAAAATTAAATAAACGAATAAAAATCACACTACAGAGACAAAAATTGAGAGATTAATTTTCATAGTGATTCCTATTTGCAGCACAGAGACGACTCTAGGAGCATCATCACTACATCTGTAAAACCACTGGCTGAATTACTCTCTGCCCTTGCTGGAGCCTATATCCAGAAGAGAGATGCATTTTTTTTTTCTTAGCTAGATCATGTGGGCAAAGGCAAAGCACACAGGGTTTGTCTTCCCTCTCAGCATAAATAAGAAAAATTTCAGCTACCCTCCAGCCATACGACAGCCCATTCTGCAGCACACAGCACCCTGATATTCAAACTGTCCCATCTCCCCTTCTCCTGAATCCACTTGCAGCTGCAAGAATTAAATGTGGGGGGTCAAGTGTACCAGTCAAAATGAATCTTTTACTTGCCTAAGCCCTACAAACCCGCCCAGCAGCGTGCCTGTCTGTGGATCAGACAGCTCAGGGAAAATTGCCTTCTGTCTCTCTGACTTAATAAAAATGTTTAGAATATCCTGCTGGGAAATTGCTACTGTACCATTTGCTCAGCTGCAGATGGTGAATTGGCATATCCTGAACTTGGCCTCTTTGTGAACCTTGAGGTTTGTCCCGGGAGGAAGAGATCCCCTGCTTCAATGCAGTTACACCAATTGACACCTGCTAACAGGCTGGTTTGCTGTAAACCCTGAACTTGTGGATTACTGTTCTCCTCCTAAAGCCGCTCTCGCAACTGCTGAGCAAGGGTCTGAAGCAAATCCCTCTTGCAGGCTGTGAATTTGGCTTTTCCTACCCAGGTGGGAAGCAATGCAGATGGGATGCACCTCTTGTTTTGGCCACAAAAGTAAGATAAGAGAGGACTTGCAATTCTCTAGATCTTGCCTACACAGGGGCATTTTACGAGAGTTTTCTTACAGCTGCTACCAGGGGCTCAGATTCACACTGACACCATCCTGAGTGTGGTCCCTGTAGCAAAGCGCTTAAGGTCAAGGCAAAGGACAGGAGGGAAACCAGATGGAAAAATGACTTGTTCATGCTGCTACCCAGTTGCGTTAGGATGGGGACCCATGGAGCTTACACAGTCTGAATAGCCCCAGGTTCATGGCCCTGTGTGATTCAGGTCACCCAATGCTCTAATCACCCGGCTACAGATGCCGTCTCTCCAAGTCCCAGGAAATATTTAATTAGCTGTACAATGCAGAAGCAGCTCCCAAAGGAAAATTCCTCTGCAAAACAGCCATCGACTTCATGCTAAAGTACCCATGGGGGCTGGAGCACAGCCGGGTCTGAATCCCAGGCCTGGAACAAAGGGAAAGGATCTCCTGCTCTTGCAGTGCCCTGGCACAGCCCTCTCCCTCCTGTTTTGCCCCAGGGGAATCTTTCCCAAAGCAAGCTTTATCAGTATGGACACACTTCCACCAAAAAAAAAAAAAAATCAAAAAAAAAAAAGAAAAAAAAGTTAGACTTGCCAGAGTGAAACATTGCAAACTAGTTATCTAAACTCTTTCTAAACTGTGAGTAATAGCAAAGATCAGGTTTCTTGCAATTTTGACCAAGCTAAAATAACGAGACCTCCTTTTTGTGGCATACCTTGGAGAGGATCTCTGAGGGCAGTTCTAGCAGAGGTGAAATGGGCTCATTGACCACAGCAGCACTTTTGCAGGGCAGGGAAACATCCTCTCTGAATCTCCCACGTGTCTGATGTCCAGACACCCATCCTGCCCCCCTGTCCATGGCAGGGTTGCAGCATGGCTACACTTTGTCCCCAGCTTGGGATGGCAGTGCCTGCTTCTGCCTGGGCTCGAGCCCACCCTGGGATGCCCCTGCACTCTCCATGCTGGATTTCTAGCACAACAGGACAGTGCCTTTCTCTCCCTTACCAGGGATACCTGTGGCTCCAGACAGCGTTGCTTGAAAACACACAAGGAGAAAAAAAACATACCCTAACCCATGCCTTTCTCCCCCATGGGCCACCCAGCTGCTGGCATTTTCAGGGAATGGACTGGAGCTAGAAAAGCTGCAAGCATCATTGCATGCCAGGTAGCCCAACCGCAGAGCAGAGCTTGCTGCTCTGCCGAAGGGGCGGTGTGGGTTAAGGCTCTGTGAGGGCTGGCTGGAAAGGAGGGGCATCCAGCATTTGAAGCAGAACATAATCTCGAGAAGAAGCTGAAGGGCCCAGTTTCTCTCAGTGTATGCTCTAGCTTTTTCCCCCCCGATAGCTCACTCGCTCACTCACTCACTGCAGGGTCTCAATCCACTCATGCCACCTCTCTGGCCCCAGTGTCCTCCCCTGGGGACAACAGCACTCACCCATCTCTCTGGAATGCCAGGGTGCCAGCAGGGGAGATGCTCCAAAGACTCAGCAGAGACAGTGATGAGGGTTATTTTGCAAACCTGGAGAGACTGGAGTGAGGTATTTATAGGAGAAACCTCTGTTTTCTTGCTTCATCTCTGGCTAGGGATATTTGGGGTTGGCTCTCAGGCCTTTTTAAAGCCTCAGTCCTTTCTTCAATGACATGGATTCACCACAGTCCTCCAGATTCCTAATGGTGGTCACTGTACCACATGAAGTCCTAACACTGACTGACCATTTGCACTGAAAGTCTGTCTCGCTGGAGAAAGACTCAGACTGGCCAGCATCAGCTCTTCTCTGCAAGCCCGTGGGAAGAGCGATGGAGACCAGCCATGCTGCCTTGTGGCCCTTGGAGAGGATTCCTTCACACCTTCAGTAGGAACACTAGAAAGTTTAATTTTGGCTAGGACCATCCCCCTTCCCGTATCCCCATTTCCCCCCCTGCACAGTGCCCAGCAAGGTGGGGAGGACAGGTGTGTTTGTGCTCAGCCATCACCATAATATGACCAAGGGGAGAGTGCAGGCAGCCAGAGGTGGCAGGAAAACAAGGGAGCGTGGTCTGGGCAGACACTGCTGGGACACAGACTGGGAAGGAGCAGTGGTGTGACCTCCTCCTCCCCTCAACATGGCCCCACAGGGAGAGCAGTGCTGGCGCATAGTCCAGGTCCTGGGGCTGGGGTCGACCCTACCTCAAGTCAAGCCAAGCAGCAGTTTGGTAAGGTAAAAAGTAAGGCTGGGGGAACAGGAAAACACTGAAAAAAAATGGGGGGATTAGTATGAAGGGCAGCTGTGCAGAGGAAAGCAAAAGGAGGGAGCGGTGAGGGGGTTGCAGCCCAGTACAGCCCAGTTGGGGGAGCAGGAAAGGAGAAGGCACCATGCTGGCTCACAGGGAGCAGCGAGGGGAGGCAGGGGGAGAGACCACGCAGCCAGGAGACAGGCAGTCTGCGGGGCAAGAGGAGAGCCCTGGGATGCCAGGCATTCCCCAGGCCCCCCCACCATCGCCCCCTCCCTGCTGACACTGTCTCTGTCTTCCAGGTCAGTGAATAATTTCCTGATGACAGGCCCCAAGGTAAGAGAAATCCCTTTGATCTCTATCCCCGATTCCACTAAACCCAGGGAGGGAGGGACTCCTCCTTCCCACCCCTCTCCCTCCAGCCTTGGCCAGAGCTCCCCTCACCCCCAGGTTTCCAGCAAGAAGGCTGGGGAGGGCGAGGACCAGGACCAACCTGCTCTGAACTGCAGCTCCCCAGGCTTTGTCGGCCCTAAGCAAAGCTGCCCTGGAGTCCTTTTAACCTGGTTGGGGCCAGATTTTGGAGATTTGGCTATTGGCAGCAGCTGAGGCTCTCTCCTGTCATCTATTGCTTCCTGATGGTCAGGTGAGCATCAGGACCCACGTTCATGGAGCTGGAAAGGTCCTTTCTGTAGGCCCTGCAAAACATACTTCCCTGAGGAGCTCAACTGCAATTGCCAGGACCTTGTTCAGTATTTTTGACGCCTCTACCCCCTTGCACTCCTCTTTCAGCGGCTTTTTCTCCTATCCAGGGCCAGTTGTAACATACACCTGATTTTCATTCTGGCTATTGCCGGGGAACACCTCCGAGCCCACCTAGCTCTTTCTACAGCTCCCAGAGCTATGGGGGAGCGACCCTGCGCCACAGCGCTGGCTGTGCCCCGGGGCCAGGCTGAGGCACCGGCAGGGCTGCAGCTCCCGGCTCCCTGAGGAGAAGGCTCTGCCTCCTCTCACGCTGAAGAGATAAGGGGTTCCCCATTGCAGGGGCTGGCTGGCACATCTCCTAGCGTGGCTGACAGCCAACAGCTCGGCCTTCTCCCCCTGGGAGGCTCAGGCTCCCACCCAGCCCAGCAGAAAATGCATTTGCTGCTGCTGGTGGTGAGCTCCACTCCCCCAGGGAGCCAAGCCTGAGAGACCGCCTCAGCTCTGCACGCAAGTTATTTTCAGTTGAATGCCAGCCTCCTGGGGAGCCTGGGGCCATGTTCTTCCTTCCGCTTTGCCCTGTGCTTCTCCATCCACCTAGACCCAAAGCAGCAGGACCCAGATAGGCAGCGCAGGGCAGGAAAGCCACAGCGGCACCAGCCCCACCGCTGTGTGGGAAGTGGCTGGGGCTACACCAGCTTTGCACTGCCTGCGGTGGAAACCCAAGCTGCGGGGGGGCTGAAGCGGGGCACCCGCTGTCCCACCTCCTGACCCGCTGCTCTGCTCCTAGGCCTATCTCATCTACTCCAGCAGCGTGGCGGCCGGGGCACAGAGCGGCATCGAAGAGTGCAAGTTCCAGTTTGCCTGGGACCGCTGGAACTGCCCTGAGAGGGCACTGCAGCTCTCCAGCCACGGCGGGCTGCGCAGCGGTAAGGAAAGCATTGGATACCACTACTGGAACCCCCTCACTACAGGTTAGAGCCCATGGGCCCCTCCTCTCTTCCCAAGTGCCTCCTTTTCTTCCCCATCCCCACCTGGGATGTGCCTCTCCCAGGAACACCCCAGAGGGATCTTTCCAGGAAGCCATTTCACCCATCAGCTCCCAGACCCATGCTGGGATCTAGCTTCAGGACAAGGCAGCATCACCTACGGACCCACCAAGCCCCAGCTTGCGCAGGACAGGAGTGTCGCACCAACCCTCACACAACTGGCTCCCCACAAGGACGCACCACTGTGACCTGCGGCATGGGCTGCTGGACACGCCATGCCAGGGTGTTGTCTCTTGCCAGGGTGTCTCAGGGAGGCTGAGAACCAGCATGGGGTGGTGGGGTGGCAAGCAGAGGGACATGGCTAAAGGAAGCAGGCAAGAGTTCATCAGTGGCTGTGCTCTGGCCAAGAGGCAGAAGAAAAGTCTTCCCACAGCTTCCAGATGTCAGAGTCACCTTGAGCAGAAATCCAGCAGGGCATGGGGCTGCGGTCATTGTTACTTTACCCCATTCCTTACCCATTTGCAGGTGCCAGGAAATGTTTCAGTGCATACCTGGTCCTCTAGACCCATGTGTGATGCCAGGCTGAGCTCATACCTGCCCTATACAGGCAGGACCTGGGTACGGAGGAGAGCCTCAGGCCTCTGGTGGGATTGGTAGCAGATGAGGGACCAGGGCCCAGGCAGAGGTGAAGAAAGGTTTCAAAGTGGAGCCCCAAGGAGGCAATTGCAGCACGAAGTAATATTCTGGGACTGATAACCATCAGGTTATCTGCTCAGATCCAGACCTTGCTGGTATTAAAGGAAAGCCAAAGGCTCAGTGAAGTCAGCTGACGATCACCACACTGATCCTGGTGGGTAGGTACGGTCACTGCTCTGAGCCCTGGAGAGCATCCAGCAGAAGGTAAGGCTTGAGGGGACTGTGGGGAAGGAACTCTTTGAACCTTGGAGAGGGCCCCTTTCCTTGTGGGGTGTATTAGTGAGATGTGGGGGATGTTTGGCTGGCTGTGCTGTATCCCCACTGCTGAGCTCCCACAAGGACAGCCAAGGGCTAAACTCATCCACACCCTTGGAAATGGCACGAGTCAGGCTCAGTCAAATTTGGGAGCTTCTGCCTTCATGCAGTTCAAGCCAAAACTAAGCTAATCTGCCATGTAGGGCCTCCTCTCCACACTACAAGGCCCTGCTCACTGCAAATCTCTTCCTACACAGTCTTCTGCATGGCAGGAGTCATTTCTAACACTGGTCTTGCCATGAAATCTTTAGCAAATCTGCTCTCCTTGTGTTCCCACTTGACAGCAAACCGAGAAACAGCTTTTGTCCATGCCATCAGCTCTGCAGGCGTCATGTACACGCTGACCCGGAACTGTAGCCTGGGGGATTTCGACAACTGTGGCTGTGATGACTCCCGCAACGGACAGCTGGGTAAGGAGAGACAAGCTGCATCCTGCTCCCACGTCCCCGGCAGCAGGAGGCAGCTCTTCTCCTCTGTCGAGGACTGCAGAAACAACAACTCCTCCTGGCCCCCATGCCTGGAGATAATACTCAGAGCAGAGCTTTGCCCGGCTCAAACCAAAGTAGCTCTGTGGAAGTTAATGGGGCCACCTCCAATTTACACCAGCTGAGGCCGAGCCCTTGATGTTTTCCATTACTTTCTAGATGAGCAGGAAAGTAGAAGGGGCTTGCAGTTTCCCTGGTTCAAACCAACAATAACAGTTTAAGCTGCTGGAGAGAATGAGTGTGTCTTACGGGCAGAGGAGAAGATCTGATGCTGTGCATCTAAATGGCAGGTCTGGTTAGAGCAGCGCTGATCAGAGACCTCGGGGCTCCCAGGGGCTGCAGGACCAGGGTGGCCTCAGAGCAGAATTACCAGGAGGGAAAGCAGGGTGGCATTCACAGACCCCTCCAGCATTTGTCAGCATGGCAGGCACACAAGAGCAAAACCGGGAGAGCCGCTGTGGCAGCACACAGCCTTCACCCCGTTCCTGTCACTGCAGAACCCAGGCCCACAGCTGCTGAGCACCCCGGGTGGGGAACCCCAGGCTGCACCGCCCCGGCTCTCTGCTCAGCTTTCACAGAAAACATTGGCATTTTTGTCTTTTGTTTTGAATGGAAAGAGGTCAGATTTCAAATTATC